AATGGAGCTCAGCATACACTTATTTTGTAAGTAACATTTTTTCTTTGAAATTTCCTGACAGTACATGCCAGCACCAAGTGAAACGATAGGTGGCTTCCATGACACTGAACTAAAAGCAAGAGAGCCTAAGTCACACCTACCTAATCCCTTAAAGAGAGAGTAGAAGGTTAAAAAAAACAAAAAACCCACAAGCTTTTAAATTGGCTGAATGAGACAAGCATTGCCTCATCCAGTCCTGCCTCAAGGAGTATTGAGAAGAAAAGGCCCTTCTTTAAACTGAGATAAGATACAAGTTAGCAATACACATCTGTTGGGCCAACCTGCAGCACCCAACATCGCCAGGGTAAAACTGCAACTCAACTGCTCACCAGCTACAATCCTGCTTCTTGCCAATGTTTCTAAGATGTAATACTCATCAGCAGGTCTCAAAACATGGCAGGAATGAGGAAAAGCTTTGCTCTAAAATTACTGTAATACACAAACCCAGCCATTTAACACAACCTGAGCTCGGGACCCCAGCACTAAGCTGCCATGCCACAGCTCCCCTCCAGCCCCGCTCTGCACCTCAGTGGTGGCACAGTCCTGCCCACAGTGCTGCCACGTGCGCTCCGCCAGCGTGGACAGCAGTCACAGAAGGAATTCTGAACAAACACCTTTATGTACTTGAAAATTAATTTTAAACAGGTCACGATTGTATCCTACTGTAAATGCTTATTTTTAAAAACTTAAATTGAAGCGTAGCCTATTCTGTCAGGCAGATGAAAAGACAAAGCAACATCACCCATGAATAAAACTCCCCAAAACCACACTGGGAGCACCATTCCCTTGTGTCAGCTCCCGAGAAAGTCCCTGCACCCTGCGAGGCTTCACCAATGCAATATGTTTTTAGTAGTCATCTGCCAATGATATTTAAGCTCTTATAAAAGGAGAAAGAGGAGCCCAGTTGTAACGTCATTGACAGATCTGCGAGTATGGACAATGTGTAACTTACTACTTCTCTGTAACAACCCTTGCAGGAGAACCCCAGAATCATTCTGATCAACACACACGGTTCTGATCCTTGGGAAAGATCTTCAACTGCCACCACAAATCACATGTTACAGGCTGGAAACTCCCCCACACCCTACAGGAAATCTGAAACTATTATCTATTAAGAATAATTAGCAATTTCTATTGTCCTCTTGATTTCCTAAATTTAGGCCTAAGCAGCTCTTATTTTCAGCCTGAGAAGTATTTCAATGCTCACTTCACGGATGTTTCAGCTGCCCTCCCAATCTTTGCCTTTAGTTTAGAAAATGGGCCTGAAGTTCACCAAAGTAGGAGAGAGCTGCCTGAACCTGAACTATTCCAGTGCTGCTCCCCTTTGTACCACAGTAATTCCAGCCCTCTGGTTCAGGAATACAGGGCAGATACAGAGGGTTGTAAATAAACTTATAAACATACTGAGCTACCCTGAGGTAGCAGGGACCAGCTATTGTTTGCCCATAATATTCTACAAGAGGGTACAAACACATTATAATTAATGATGGAAGCTGGTTATGGAGTTCTTGATGCAAGACACAGTTACTCCAGCTGGACAAGGCAATCGGCAGATGCTGATTCAAGAGCTGTCCCATCCACAGCAAGTTGGATAGACAGAAGTTGGTGAGCAGACAAAGGAGCCCCCAGGCTGGGAGGAGCACAGGAGACAGGACAGGCACAGGAGTCAGCAGGACACACAGGGCAGAGCTTGCATGCAGCCAGAAGGGGAAGTGTTGATGCCTTTTGCTTCTGTAGAACCCAAATGAACAAGTTACTCCTGTACAGAAAGGGACTGCCATCATTTCAAGGGCAAAAATCACCCAAAACCATAAGGAGGCAAGTGTTTTATTGAGTTCTTCACTGGTCTTAGCCTGAATCCGTGTTGACTCGGACATTTGGCACACACATCCACTGAATCCTGGAACATCTACTCCAGGTGAATGGACTAGACAGAGCTTACACAGAAGCCACTGCCCCTTATTTTAATTCTGGGCATATTAAACCAAACACAGTCTCCTCTGTGGCCATCTCCCACCACAAACTGGACTCCAGAACCGAGACCCCCACGAAAAAGCAAAAACTCAACCTGCTTCAGAATCATCCATATTCGGTGTTGTACTTGCTCCAATCAACACTGAATTCAGGTGGGAATGCCATGGGGAACATGGGGAACAGGAGAGCAGTTCCACAAGCAGCCCTTCCTAGGTGCTTCCTCCCATCCCTATTGTATTCCCCAAACCCTTTGTTCTAATGCCTTTCCTACACAACTTTCAGCAGCAGTGTCACCCCCACGATGCAGTAGGGGGACAGCAATGCTCTTACAGAGCCACAGTGCTCAAAAGGGCTTCCAAAATCCTGAGATGTTATTTTACAGGAACTTGGCACATGAAGAAGGGCAATGCAATCCAGTCTGTACACTGACAGCAGTCACTCCACTGTAGTCACCAGAGATACCAGGGATTGTCTTTTCCTGTGTGCCCACCCATAATCTGGTCTGTCCAAGAAGTTCCATGGAAAAATAACAGCAAGAAGCCACAATACAGGGGTTTCTCTAGATTTCAGAGAATCTTGTGTGCAAAACACCCGCACAAAAATTATAATTCTTATCTAAAGCGTAAATAAAATAAATTCAACAAGTGAATAAGTGGATAAATTGAAGCAGTTATCAGACAAAAAAAATCCGGCTTTGCAACAGTGACTGGTCACTTCTCACTGCCAGACAAATCAAGATCCACCCTGCAGAAAAACCAGCCTCAAAACAGAACGCGAGATTTGTTTCATTTCCGAAGGTTCCTGCACCATTAGATTCCTCCCTAAAGAAGAGACTTCATTGTTACGGCAATTAGTATTCCTCCACCCCGGCAAAGGGAGGAAAAAAAAAAGCTCTGAAAGGGTAATCGAGCCATTTCGCAGCTTTGCCTCCTTACTCCACCCAGTCTCTTCCCTGCTCAATGGCTGCTCACAGCATCCACAAACATAGGAACAGCAACAGAAACACAGAAAAACGAGATCCCCGAGAACAAGCCGGAAATTTGCAACGCATCTTTCAGTTTAAAAATATTTTCTTTGTTTAGTTCCCTAACATAATTTTCCTATTTAACAAAATGACTCTAAGGGAAAATAACATTCTGACAGCAGACCCTCCCTCTCCCGAAAACCAGCCGAATGCTGCACAATCATTTACAAAATGATCATCACTGAACGGAGGTTCTTTAACCACCACCTCCTAATGGCATGAACAATACTGTCATAGGAACATACAATTAAAAGAATCACCACAAAAATACGTAATTCAGCCAGGTCAGTATGCCCAAACATTTATTTATAGTAAAATAGTGCTTATTAAAGATTTTTAATACAGCTTAGATTAACCTTCCCCCCTCCCTGGTAAGTAATTCATTATAAAAGGACTTGACCTGCACCAACCAAGCCCACTGCTGCAGCACTGCCGGCGAGGAAATGGTTCCAGTGATACCATGGCAAAGAAAGGGAAGGTGTCACATTATTATTGGTATTAAAGGTCAAGTTTAATTGCCTCCGCCTTAAACAGAAAACAATAAAAAAAAAATCTCATGCCCACAGAACTGAGCAAACCCCAAACTTTCCAAGGGAGGCACCACTCCCACCCCCCAACTTCCATCAAAGCCCTGCCTGCGTATAACCTCCTGCCGAAACAAAACCTCGGGAGTAACAATAAATACAAGATTTTAGCAAACTCGATTGCTACTAAAAGGTTTCCGAGGGAAGCCCGTGCACCTCCAGCCGTCCAGGCAGCGGTATGACCCCCAGAAGGAGAGCAGACCTCCCTCGCCCGTTTTACTGCAGCTGGTTCTGAAGGCATGAGCCACCTCCTATCGCTGCTGCCCTGCTGAGCACTGCAGGAAAACGGGGGATGCGAGGCAAATTCTGAAACAACACCTACTCCTTCCCCTGGATTATCAATTCTCGCCCTGCTTTCGGTGCCGCGGCCGCGCTGGCGAATTGGGCCATCGCCCGACCCCCGGCCCTGCCACGGCAGAGGGGCACGGGGGGAACCCCCGGGAGGAACCGGGGAGGGATGCTCGGGGTCCCCTCGGCGCACACGCCGGGCCCCTCGCCCCGACGGCTTTTTTACGGCTGTTCGCCACGGCCCGTACCCTTCTCCCGGTATTTGCTAAGTCACGGGAGGGGCGGCGCGGCCCGCGGGGGGGACACGGGCCCGGCGGGGGCTCCGCGCCCGCCCCGCCGCTCCCGCCGGGCCCTGTTTTCCTGCAGAGTCACGGCGGGAGCGGGGCCCGGGCCCGCGGGCAGCGGGGAGGCCGCGCCCCGGCCCCCAGAGCCCTCCTGAGCCCGGCCCGGTGGGGGGGACACCGGGCCGGCCCCCCCGACCCCCGCCCCGCCCGGTCCCTCCTCACCAACGGGCGCGGCCGCCATTTTGAGAGCGAGCAGAGAGAGGGAGGGGGAGCGGGGCGAGGGCGGGGAGCGCAGGGGAGGGGGAGAGCGGAGCCGAGAGCGCCGGCCGCTGGGGCCGCGGGCCGGGACGGCCCCGCGGGGCCGGGGGGGGCGGCGGGCCCGGCCTTACCGAGCCCCGCCGGCGGCGCCGCCGCCTCGCTGCGCCGCGCGGGGCCGGCGCCGCCCGCCCGTCCCACTCACCGGCGCGGCGCGGGGTCCCGGTGCGGGGTGGCGGTGCCGGTGCGGGGTGGCGGTGCCGGCGCGGGGGTCCCGGTGCGCGGTGCCGGCGCTGGGCGGGCGCTCCGCTCGCTCCGCGCTGTCAGAGGCGCCGCGGCCGCCGGGAGGGAGGGCGGGAGCGGCGCGGCCGCCGCGGCGCTGCGCATGCGCGGCCGGGGGCGGGGACGGCCGCCCGCCGCCATCTTGGGCGGCCGAGGCGCGGGTGCGTGTCCCGGCGTGCCCCGCGCGCGCCTCCCGGCGTGCCCCGCGCGCCCGCCCGCCTGAGGGGGCCCGGGGGCGCAGCGGGAGCGTGCCGGGAACACACCGGGAATACCGGGCGTATACCGGGAATACGGGTCCTATACCAGGAGTACGGGGGGCACCGGGCACACACCGCGAATACCGGGGACACCACCTATACCGGGCACATACTGGGAATAGTGGGGACACCGGGAATACCGGGCACACACCGGGAAAACCGGGCACCACGTCCAGTCCCTCCAGCCCCGGCCTCCCGCGGGCACCAGGCGCTGTAGCGTTTTGCAGGTGTCCCTCCCACGCCCCGCTCCCGGGACAGCCCTGCTGCAGGAGTGACCTTGTCCCACACACCTGGAGTCAGCGGGACCGCCCGTGTCCGTGTGTCGGGAGCGCCGCGAACCCGCCGCGTCCCTGCGCGTCTCCCCGGGCACCTCCACAGGGTGGGCGTGGGAACAGCCCCGCTCTGCACCTGCAGCTGAACGTTTGCATTATCTACAAACCCCACCGAGCTGCATCTCCAAGTGTTCTGGTTTCGTGGAGCACTGTTCCCGCTGGGGTTCAACCCTCGTGCTCACCAGGGGCGCTGCCAGGACAGCCCCGGAGAACCGGGCGCTGCCGTCCAGCAGCACAGCCAAGCACCCGCGTCCATCCGAGTCCTCCCCTCAGTTTGCCAGCTGAATCCCTGCGGTCTCTGGGGGTTGGAGTGTCAGGGATAGCAGTGCCCACCCAGAGATGCCCTGACAGAGGCGCCAGCCCAGCCCCTGATGCTGGCCGGGAATCCTGGAGTGGAGCAGCTGGAACCCTGCAGCTCCAGGACAGGGACCGGTCTGAAATGCTGACCCGAGGGAAGAGGTAATTCCACGCGTAACATTATCTAGAGAGCAAAAACTCTGTGAGAAACTTCAAGGGACACTGGAAATTTCATTATCAAAAGCTGTACAGTCTTGTCTGTTACTCGTAGAAGTAGCAGCAGAGATTACAAACGTAACCATCATGTAATGGATCTCCATGTGGGTGCCCAGGGCACCTGAGGGTGCTGGTGTCAGCATCACCTGGGCTGGGCCATGGGCCCTCAATTGCTCTTGTTTGTGTTATTTTATACCACAATGGACAAGAGAGGGCTGTGCAAACCCCACACAACGCAGGTGACACAATGCAGGGCTGCTACAGCAGCCAGGGGAAATTTTTTACTCATTTTTAAATTGACTACATTCCAAGTTTTAGATCCATTTAAAACTTGAAAAATTCTCACTGTTCACACCTAGAGATGGTGATGTTGCAGATATTCCCAAATACACTGGTGACATGCAAAATGGACTAAAAGTGAAGGGTAATTCAGTTTCCATATAGTGATTTCTTCGATATATTGAAACTTTTCAGTGATGAATTTCTTCACCAAAAAGGTAGTCACCTTTGGAAGGGGCTGCCCAAGGAGATGGTGGAGTCCCCATCTCTGAAGGTGTCCAAGGAACAAGTGGACATGGCACTCAGTGCTCTGGGATGGGTGACAAGGTGGGGATCAGGCACAGGATGGACTCAATGGTCTGGGAAGTCTTTTCCAACCTTTATGATTCTATGATTAATATAATTAATTAATGATGAGACAGTTGACAAGTCAGCAGGCCACATTTCCAGTGAGGAGCCAATGCAGTGTCCATCTGCCCCTTCTGTTAATGAAAAACAGTCAAACCAGAGCAGCACACGTCAGCATCCTACACCAACATGTCAGACGCATTCAGATATGTTCCAAAAAAGAGAATTGGATCTGGCCATACTCTTTTGGGGTTTTTTCCACCCAGTATTTCTAAATCTCTGTGCTGACCACTGGCAAAAGCCCTTTCCTTCTGTGGCAGAGAGAAGATTCCTGGTTCCCATGTGAGGCACTTGTCAGAGGTATTTCATAGACACATCAACATGAGAAACACAGGGGACTGAAATTTAGGGGAAGACTTTCAAATGATTGCCCAAACTACCTTGGCTTTACTTCCATTTGTTTGCAAAGCAGGCAAAACTGCTTTGACAGCCTCAAAATTCTAGTATATCACATATTTTGGGGTGTGTACTCAAGCAATAATTAGCATCTACCCAAGAAATTAAATCTGGCTCAGAGATTAATGAATTTTCCGGAGATCTTTAGGACATTTGAGGACCTAAATGCCTTTAGGACAGGCATTTTATTCTCCTTTTACAGCTGGCCTTCCTTGTAATATCATTGCTTGATACTGGAATGGAAAAAATCCCAGGTGCCAGCACAGCTGAACCACAAGGAGTCCCAGAGCCCATTTTTCTTGGTCGTTTCCTTGCTTGCCACCAAGAACCTCCATGACAGCGAACACGGACCCTGCACCTTGGCAGAGAGGTGCAGACCCAAATTGCACAGCTCCTTCTGATTCCAACTTCAGATTTCCCTTCAGGGTATTCCTGAAGTCAGCCTTTGCAGCTTGCACCGCCCCTCTGCAGTGGGAGCCAGGCTTCTTCAGGGGAGCTTTTGCCGTCCGGGGTGGCACACAGAGATAGCTGCTACAGCCGAGGTCGCGCTCCCAAACGGTCCCTCAGCCCTTCCCACACACTTCCTGCTACACACGGAAACTGGAGTCATTGATAATTCATATGTTGCCTCTGAATGAAAGTTGTCATTAATATTCTACCCGTGTCCGTATTTGTGTAGCAAAGCACCCGCAGCGACGGTACCACTGCAACCAACTCGTGCACGGTTCACATCTGAGCGGCGCCTGACCTACAAAAGGCACGAGCTCTTACAGCCACAGACCTCTGGAAGAGAAAGAGTTGCACAAAAACGCCTCCACAGATTTGAGCTGAAAGAACAGTGCAGTTTTAGGTTGGGACTAAATTCTAGTGACACAAATACAGTTATTACAAGGTGCCTAAGCACATACCAAAAGAAAATTAACTTCTAACTGTGTCTTGTTCAATTTAATGAGTCAATGGGCATGTCTACCTGTGTCATTAACCCTGTCACTGGGATAAATCACAAGAAATTAGGATTATTTTCTTCTTTTTGTTCACTAGTAAATAATGACTTCTCTGTGGCTCAAGCAAGACTTGGCTCTAGAACTGCTAAGTGTCCACTTTATTGTTTACATATGTGCAAAAGTTTTAGCAATCCCACTTCCAGTACTCATGTAGCCTTTCTTCTACATTATGAACGTAAGGAAGAGGGCAATCTGTGTGTCCTTCTCTACCCGACATTCTTAATAGCATTAAAAAGAAAAGATAAACAAATCCTGTCTCTGAGGTATCTGCGTTGGGAACCTTGTCCCTGTGCAAAGTCTTCACCTGTTGCAGTAGAATTTTTCAGTGAAGTGAACCTCTTTTCTAGTTAAGTATGAAGAAAATGAAAATTAGATTTTCAGCATGTGTTCTGGTTTTACTGCTAGAAGTTCCTATGCCTGTGTTTGTTCCGTTTTACTTCTCATCTGGACAGCTGATCATGTACACTTTATAAGGAGTTTGTGTTACTGTCAATGACAATGTGTTTCTATATCTTGTTTCAATAGTCTTTGCTTAGCCTTTGATAGTTCAATAGTATTCTGATAGATATTACTTTCATGTGCTTCCTTCTTTAAACTCACATGTTAGTTCAGAAACTGCTTTTCCTAGAGGCAAAGGATGAAAGTCCAGGTACAAGTAGCATTTCAGCTGCTTATCAGTTGTGTTTTCACTGGTGTTTCTGACAGAGGCCCTGACACAGACCTGGCTGCTCACCCTTGAGGTGCTCACCCTCGAGGCCCTGACTGCCCTGGGCCTGGCTCCCCTGGTAGTCCCAGTTTATCTGCTAGTTCTTCTGTGATTTTTGAAGCTGTAATCAATGTCTGCTTGGCCTCATGTTCACCCTCTCTGTCCCCATACAGTGGGATGTTAAAAATATCCTTTTTTTGTGAGGCTGGGAAAGCAGGTGTTGCATGTAACAACTTTAACCTTTAAAACTTTAGCCTTGTTAAAGCTTTTAACAAGAGTATTAATAGCAGGTATTTATTGCCATACAAGAAGACGTTTTCTGTTCCCAAAATCTTAAAATTTATGAGAATTACACTTATTCAAGGACAAATATACTTATTTTAAAAGCTTTTACGTAACAGTTTCAACAAATTATTTCTTATATCTTCAAAATGTTTTTCTGAGTTACAGTGAAGACCAGTAACATACACATTCCTAATAAAAAGGGTGATAAAGCAGTGCAGAGATAATAAAGGATCCACCTTTTAATCTAATTGGGCATGCACTTTTGCCTGCAAAAGCTGCACACAGGTCTCATGCTAGTGCTGCAGCTGAACATGCAGATTAGGTCATCATGGCTCCTGTAGCTAACCAGAATAATTTGTGCATAAGTACCTGATTTGCATAGAAAACTGCTGCAAAGGCCCATGCTGGTATCTGGGATGGGATTAATTGCTGCTGGCTGCCCCAGATGTGCTGCACAGCTGCAGTTCAGCGGTTGGATGGACTCCAGCACAGGCCTTGTCACACCTCACACCCCCTGTCCACTCACCTGTACCTGTAGGAGCCACACTTCAGGTGAAATAAAAGAAACTACTGTTGTTAGAGGCAGCAATGTAAGGTTGCTTCCCAAATTTGTGTCAAAGTAGAACCAGCAGATATAACCTAAGATTGGGAAAATAGGCCAAAGCACATGAGCATGAGGCAGTAGTGCTAAAAGAGGGGAGCACAAACTAACATCGATGTACTCTTAATCCATAGTTATCCCAGATTTGGATTAAACTGCCTTCTGGAGGGGTTTCCAGGGACCTTTTCACATCGAGGTCTTTACCCTTGGTCACTGGAAGCATTTCTCCTTCTTGTGGGTTTATGTTTTGAAAAGGATGAGATAAACATTTCTGCCCTGTGTATCACTGGCAGTGCTGCTGAGTCAAAAGCACAGTTGAAAACAAAGCAAATGTGATGCTTTTTTAATTCTTCAAATTCCATTGCTAATTATAGTGATGTGTAATCATGTATGTTGTTACTGCTGACACTATCCACCCCTCTTCTAAATTCCTTTCACTATATTCCTTTCCACTTGCAGTAATAAAGCCCTGCCAGCAATGCTAAGTGACACTGCTTGCATTTTATAGAATCATCATAGGGTATATAGAGAGAGTGTATATAGACTTCTATATAATCATCATCAAAGAGTGTTTTTATTGCACTCAACCTAATGTTAAAAGATGTTCTTGTGTTATTCTTCATGCTTTTATAATTTCACTGTTTATATATAACACATAGAATTCTGGAATTTGCTTCTAAGTGAAGAGTTTCTTCCCTCTGAGTTATTTCAGCCATAGGTATTGCTTTGCTATTGCAGAGTCATGAGCAGCTCTTTAAAGTTCTGCTTTTACAGCACAGATCTGTTGTTCAACAAGTGTGGCCTCTGCCCGAGGGGTGCTGCAGCATTCCAGACCCAACTTCATGGGACATGCATCTTCATGTAGTCAGGCCATGAATATTGGAGAAAGATGTTACTCATAATGTCATTCCATTAGAGATGTGGGAAATGGGAAAGGCCGTGTGGGACCTGTCAGGGGGCTGTCCCAGAGGGAGTGCTGCAGTGTGACTGCCCTGGGGCTGTGCCCTGTGACCAACCCTCTTGTGCTGACCAACCCTCTTGTGCTGACCAACCCTCTTGTGTGTGACCAACCCTCTTGTGCTGACCAACCCTCCTGTGTGTGACCAACCCTCCTGTGTGACCAACCCTCCTGTGCTGACCAACCCTCCTGTGCTGACCAACCCTCCTGTGTGTGACCAACCCTCCTGTGCTGACCAACCCTCCTGTGTGTGACCAACCCTCCTGTGTGACCAACCCTCCTGTGCTGACCAACCCTCCTGTGTGACCAACCCTCCTGTGCTGACCAACCCTCCTGTGTGACCAACCCTCCTGTGTGTGACCAACCCTCCTGTGTGTGACCAACCCTCCTGTGCTGACCAACCCTCCTGTGCTGACCAACCCTCCTGTGCTCCACAGGGTCCACGGCAGCAGAGCCCACTCCAGACCCTGGTGCTGCTTCTCCCGCAGGAGGATGGACTGCACTGCTGAGGTCACTCACACACTGCAGAGGAGTTTGGAACTACAGGCTGAGGTATGCAGGGAGCCTGGTCAATGCCTGCTGGCAAGATGACTTTAAATCTTACATGTCTTCTAAACAGCAGTATAGTCCTGAACAGAAACACTTCCTCTTACAGGCAAAATTAATGCTCTTTTCCTAGTGTACAATCTGGTTAGCTAACAAACCTGTACCAGCTTTAGTAAACTGACAATCTATTCCCCCATTAAAAACAGCAACATTTACCATTTACTAACAAATAGAACTATTCAAAAGTGTAAATGCCATACCGATGTTTTATTTTTTAAATTTTAGAATAGTTATTATTACCGGAAAATGAAAATTCTCTTTTAGATTAGAAACTATTGTTTCTCAGCAACATCATGGATGTTATTGGTCTAACTAGAAGGCTGAGGAGTTGAAATAGGTGTGTGCTGAGAGCCCCATCAACTTCTGAAAAGGTCCAGGTTTCTTTCCAATTGGAATGTTGCAGCTTCCCCACAAGCAGGAGGTAGGTGGCTCAAATGCCGTGTGATTCACGGCCATAAGAATGCACCACCACCAGCCCATGCACAGATACACACCCCAGTCAAATTATACATTTGACACATTCTGGAACTGAAACTTCTGGCAAGCAATTACTCACGTTAGTGATGCTGTGATTCAGTGTGGTGCTGGCTGGTGATGAAACCCTGCAGGGCTGCTCCTCGTGGCACATGGCACCAGGGAACAGGAACCTCAGCCTGCCTCGTTAGCACTGCTTTGCCTCCGGAGAACAGCTATAATTAATACTATTTTATCTTAAGTGATTGCGAAGAAGGACAACTTAGAGATATCACCTGTCACAGTAGGTATTTTCTAGTAAATTTACTGAAAATTGTAAATGGAAGAAAAAGTCTGAGATTTAAAACTTTTGTCGGACAACAAAGCCACAGATACAGCACGAGGCAGAGCTTGCTGTGGCTTTTGGGGAGCTGCAGCTGCTGCCCAGGGAAGTGCAGCTTTGGGAACTATAAAGGACAGAGGCAGTGAAAGGGTTTGTTCTGTGGTACACAAACACAAACACTGCTTTAGTCAATCCCTTCTGGCTGGAGCTGTAATTCTGAATAGGGAGGCAAGGGGAAGAAAGAAGGAACATCTGTCCGTTTTTGGAGAAGTTACAAATTCTTAACACTGATACACTGTGATGTCCTGTGCTTTGTTCTCTTGGGAACTCCTCTTCTTTGGGGCAAATTATTTCATGTCTCTTGAATACCCCTTAAAACATTTCCAATGCCAGCATTATTCATTCATGTTTATGAAGTCTGTTTATATTTGTGCTTCAGTAAATGTCACCACAAAAATAATACTATCGAGTATTGGAAAAAATCTCTTCCCAAACCAGTGGTGAAGCTCTTGGTGACTGTGGTGAATTAATCACCCAACTGCTCTGCAGTGTTTATAGCAGACAGTGAGTGTGCCTCCACACTCTGCTGGCTGCAGTTCTCCCTCAGACCTTTTGTGTACTTCTGTTATTTGTTCTAAGCATCATTTAGTGCCCTCAGTGACCTCATTATGTTTATATCTATAATTAGAAAAAGATACATTTTAGGCTGTGACATTTTTGGCTAGGTTAGAAAGCGCACTTTATTAAAATTGCTTTGGAAAGGATACATTGTCCCTCACTCTCCACTGGATTTTCTGTATTCTTCCCAAATAGGCAACTCTAAACAAATTTCATTACACTAATGTGTATTACCTTAAAAATTTATAAAAGACTGAGTTCTGTGATTTTTAAGAGCTCTCTATGAAAAAGGGAGTAGAACTTTACCTGAAGGTGAAAAATCAGCATCCAACCATGACATAAGAATTTGCAGGCAAAACTTCCACTGGTGCCACACTGAAAGGAGATTATAGTTACGTAATAGAATGTCTTAGTGAATAGTTTCACAGTTCAATAAATTATTATATGACTGAAAGAGACGTGGGGCAGAGTGGGCTCAGCAGATGACAGGACATAATTTTCAGAGGGTTTACCCTTTATTTTACACCAGTACTCCTTCTGGCTTAGCCAGGAATGATCCACAGCTGTAACTAGGAACAAGATGTGAGACTGGAATTATAAAAATTACAGTTGTGAGGTTCAGTTTGTTCTCATTTTAAACCATAGTGATATCCTTGGTTAGAAATGGCGTTAATAAATAATGACAATCCTTATTTGGAATTGAGAAGGATTTCTAATTAAGAATGATTTAGTAATTCTTAAAAACATGGGAATAAACTCCTCTTTGGTTCATTTAGAGAGTCCCAGTAGGTTTCCATTTGGCCTGGAGAGTTTTCTCTGTCCCCATTTTCAGGCTTCGTTGCATTATCTGTATTCACTGTTTTATCTCCTATGGCAGCTTCTTCATTATTAAGCAGGGTCTGAGAAGGAGAGATTGGATTAGAACAGTTTTGTCATCTTATGGCACAAGACAATACAAAGTATCTCCTTACATTTCTGACATACTGACAAAGCAGATTTATTGATAGGAACTCTATGGAACATATCTGATCTGTACAGTCTTCTGACACATTGTATTTGCAAAGCTACTCTGGAATTTTTCAAAACTAACCAACCAACCAATTTGCCTCCTTTAAGGACTTGTGCAGGAGGATGTAACACAGCCAGGGGTGCTGACCCCCCAGAGACTGAGAAGTGCATAAATAGGGAGCTTGAGTTTGCAAAGTTGTTTCTTCCCATAGCAATATTTCCTAGGATTCTTATTTCTTAGGACTTAGAATTCAGAGGCCTGATGGTACATAACACATCTGAAGAAAATACTTTTTGTTTTCTTTTAAGTTGTCAGTGTAACCATGATTAAAAAAAACCAAACCCAAACCAAAACAGGCGGTGTTGGGAAGGGCATTGACAATGTGCCAGAACAATGGCATTAGGTAGGGCTGGTAAAAAGCAGTTGAATTATGATAAGACAGTAATGACTACTATGGGAGTCTGGACTATAAAATTTTCAGCTGTAACAGTCAGTTCTACAAAATTCACCTTTGTGCAGCCACTTGCACATCTGTAGGAACAGGCATGTCCACAGCTGGGGAATGCTGGCCCAGGAGCCTGGTCCTGGAGCAGCTGTGTGTGCAATTCTCACTGATCACAGAGCTCCTGGAGCAGAAGCAGGAAGGAATTAAGCATCCCAGAAACTGCTAAGAGTTACTGTACTGAGTTTAAAAGAAAAAGTAAGTTACAAGGGAAAAAATGGAATAATTTGGGAAAAGTGGCTTCTTTTTTGGAGGGCCTGGTACTCCTGTACAGACTGCTGCATTCTCCATCCTCTACCTTGTCTGTCTGCTGATGCTCAGGAGACCTTCACCTTTTATTTTCAGGTGAGCAGAGCTGGGCTCCACATGCCAGCAGAGCTTTCAGTAGCATTTTTTGAATGCAGAGAGATGCCTGTAGGCAATTCCAGAAACATAGCTTTTATTTTCCTTTTCGTGACAGAAAAAGACCAAACACTGAAAACAGTGATGATTGCATTTTAATAACCAAAAAATCAAGTAAGTTTTAAATGTCTAGAAACAGATTCTCAGGGGAAAATAAACCAAAAACATTTCCACCTTCAACCTGAGACATCAGCCTTCAGCATGTGTAACCTGGCAGGTTCTGTGTGTTCACCATTATGTACTTGGTACAAACCACTTTTTTTAGTTCAGGGTGGTTTTCCCACAAGGGAATCTTTCCATGCTCCAAGTTAATTATGTTTCTCTCCTCTCGAGTTTCTTTACTACCTAGAAATTTAAGCTAATGTAGTCTATTTTAGGTTTTTAAAAGTGCTCAGTGCTATGATGACTATATACTCATCTAAAAAAGATTACAAAAATCTGAATACAGGGAAGTAGAGGACAGCTAGAGATCATCCTAGTTCTCCGTCCTGGTTTTGGCCAGGAGGGGGTTAATTTTTAATATCATTCCTAAACCACAACATTCTCATGGAACATAATATCTCTGGGCTGACTAAAATAGTTGTCCTGAAGTAGTCCTGTTTTATGCTATGCAGAATGTATACATTTTAATGAGGTGAGTTAATCCCTATATTCTAGGAACAGACCTTGATAGCATTATCTGTCATTACTTACAATACTGCATGAATTAGAGTGCACAGAGATATTCTGGGGCTGCCAGACCAGTTAAGGAAAAACAACCTTTTCCAGGGCACTAAAACTGAGATGCTCACAGGCACTCAGCTCCAGCTGGGTTGGTATCAGCAGGGACAGCTATAACAGAGAGGGACACACGCTTCCCTAAGATAACACTGAATTCTGAGCTTTCGTAATAAATCCCTTGCCCCTCAATTTCCATCATCCCTGTACACACCTGGAAGTCTTCAAAGCCTGTTAGCAAACAGCAACAAGTGTTCCACGGACTCCTGAGATGGGGAAAATAAAACCCCAGCAGTGTTAAATGTCACGCTTGGAAATGGCAGTCGTCCGTGTTCAGCAGCCCTTTACCCGCTGAAGACTAAAACATAATGTGGGTCCTTGCTGGGGGGATGCATGGCCAGGCAGAAAAACGGGAAGCACTGAGCTCAGGGAGAGCTGAGCCCGCTGAATGCACTGGCAGGAGTCTGTGCCAACGAGCTGTCACCTAATGACTTGGTAATTCAAGCTCTGATACAGTCAGGGAGCACAAGGGAGCCTCTTGTAGCCCGGCATTTAGAGTCCTGAAACTAAAAATCAGCTAAAATTGCTGGATTTTCTATTTTAATATTAGTAGTCTGGTGTTTATGTGAGCTCTGAGACATAAAAGGGAGCCAAGTGGAGTTACACATGGCTGTAAAGCCAGAATGGATAAGTGGAGTCAAATAAGCAAGCAGGAGCCTCTCTAGTGTGAACCTTGAGTGGTGAGGGCTCTGCAGTGCAGCAGTGGTGAGACTCTGTTCCCAGGAGCAGGTACCAGCAGCACATGGAGGGTGCTGGCAATGCAGGCAGGTCAGCAGGGGCACTAAGAGCCTGGGGCATGGCAAAGCCTTTTGTCCCAAGGGAGCAGTGGGGTGATCTGAGAG